AGGATGTATTTGTTTAATATGGGTATCAAATTAAAGCTGTTCATGAATGCTTTAAGATAGAGCACTTTTCAAATAGCTGGGTGACTAGGGTCTCGAGATATAGACCAAAACGTGGACCTGGGTAACCTTGGGTGTATTTGTTTAATATGGGTATCAAATGAAAGCTGTTCATGAATGCTTTAAGATTGAGCACTTTTCATATAGCTGGGTGACTTGGGTCACGAGATACAGACCAAAACGTGGACCCGGGTAAACTTAGGCTGTATTTGTTTAATATCGGCATAAAATGAAAGCTGTTATGCCAAAAGTATGCGGAAGCAAATAAAAAAAAATTAAAAAATTCATGAATACCGTTTTAGTGAAAAATAAAATTGAGTAATGCGGACAGTTCTTTAATCTTCTTTAATATAAAAATTAATATAAAAATAAGTAGGGTTTTCCTTCCTGACGCTATAACTCCAGAACGCACGAACCGATTTTCACGGTTTTGCATTCGTTGGAGGTTTATAGCTAGGAAAATTCAGGAAAAATTTCAATAGAAAAGTATATGGTGTGTGAGTATCCCCCACGAAAATAAGTATGTTTCATTTAAAGTAGATGGTGCCATTGTTTAACAGCTATTCATTGTACTTTGCTCAGTTAATTTCATGTGACACTAGCGAATACCCGGCGTGCTTCGCTGCGCCTTAAAAGTAATTTTGTTTTGTTACTCCCTCTCACAACATTTGAAAATATTATTTAATATTGCTGTACATATTTGTATAGTAGGGAGATTTTTTCAAATTATATAAATATACGTTATTTGAATATTGAATCAATACACGTTTGAGGAAAGGGTGCGATAGTAGACTCCAGTTATAAGATTATAAATTAAATTTCCAAGAGAAAGTCGGTTCTTTACATATTTTCTAATTACCTTCGAAAATATATTAACTCAAAAAAAAAAATAAACAATGCTTCATAGATCGATTTTTTTAAATCTAACTTCATAAAGTTCTTTAAAAATATTTTGTAAATGAGGCCATAAGAGCTTAGGGGGAGAGTTACAACACAAAAATACATTTAAGGCGCAGCGAAGCACGCCGGGTAATTGCTAGTAATGAATAAACTCAATTTATTTGTATATGGAAGAAAACCGCAATGCCTTTGGCGAAAAAAATTCTAAAACATCAGCGGTAACCTTTAGCTACTTGAAACTTGCACATTATCAGACTAAAATTTATTGGGCTATAAAACTGTGTATTCAGAAAAATTCTAACACTTCCGAGAAAAAAGTTTGAAATTTATATCAAAATTTGTTGCACTTTTTTGTAGTTTTCTACAAATGGTTAAACCTGGGTTTATATGGGTTTTGTTAGAGAAAGAACTATATTTTAATTGAAAATTCTTAAAAATAAATAAATAAACACAAGTGGCACACAATCTCACTTTGAAATGGCGTGCTATAGATATGACCGATACTGTATGTAGGGGCAAAAAAAAAACGGGAATTTCAAGAAAAAAGTAGGTTTAGTGACTCGTACTACCTCGCTGGTAGGAGTTAGGGTTACACCGTGATGGACACTTTTCTAGACCATTAAATTCTAAAGAAACCCCTTCCTTCATAGACCATGATAATACGATAAAATACAATTGAGTTGTAGATTTTTGAAAAAAAAAAAATACAGTTTACGTGCATTTTAAACGGAAAATCTTTGCACGTCTTGGTCGAGCACCTAATATTAATATTAAAGGCTTAAATTTTGTGGTATTTATTTTCTATTTTTTTGAGTATTTCCAACAAAGTTTCCACGAAGGAGTGAAAAAAATATTCGCCAAAAAAGGACTCGAATAACACTGGCGGACAAAAGTCGATTTGTTTTTAATATTTACAATGTTTTTCAAGCTAATTTTTTTTTGCTTTTTTTATATAAACATGGTTCATGCTTTAACAATAACTATATAAATCACGCTTCCAAATTTTATACAGAATTTAGAAAAACAGAATTTGTATATAATTTTTGGGTATGCAGTTAACGGGCTTTAAGTAAAAAAAGTGCAAGTTTTCAGCGGCTAAAAAATTGCATTGATTTTTAATATTACATTTTTTTTTGTTGACGGCGTTTCGCACTTTTCTTCATATAAACAAGAATTTCTTGTGGAACGATAAGCGCCAGACCATTTGCGAAAAAAATAAAAAAAAGTCAACGCCAGTTTTCCTAAATTTTGCTATTTATATGAAAAACATCACAAAAGCCGTCACCAAAAAATAAAAATATTAAAAATCAATGCGATTTTTAGCCACTCAAAAATATTAAGAACAAAATACCATTCATCCACTTTTGAACGCTAGTGTATATACGTCTGTCCTATTTTGTTTATGTATGATTTATTGAGGTAGGAATTCTGTTCATATAATACTTTACGTTATAATTTATTTCTCAGTATTTGCATATATATCTACACATAGTGGTATAATTAACTACATAAAACTATCACTTTCATAATTTCAAAATAAGTGTAATAATATATTCAGGCAGGTGCTGCAATTCACTTCCGAGTAAGTGAATTTCAACAAAGCTCAATTTGAATGCAAAGCGAATTCGGTAGAAATTCACTCGAAAATGAATTGCACAACCCGCCTCATTATCTCAAATTTTCACAACAATTGCACAAACACACATTTCTATATAAATAGTCTTAATAAATGGCTTAAAAGTATTTAATATCAGTACATAATTTAATTTTTTTCTTATCCAACTAATTTCTACAAAGCATAAATATGTCTAACGTATGTGATTACGTTTCCTTCTATGCTGTATTTTCGAGCGATTTAAGCTAGATTTTCTTTTGCTGCTTGACCTGCGTTCGGCAATCGTAGCTGTGCTCCAATCATCAGTGTCCACTTGCACTGCGCCAAATCTGCGTCTGCCCAAACCCGCTTCTGTACGCCTGTGCGACTCATCGCGCAAAATATCACTTGCAGCACGATTTGTATCGACGAAACGCTGTTGAAATTCATCAAATCTTTTAATTAATTGAATTTCATTAGCTTCATCCACCGCCGAAGGGAGTGCAGTAAATTGCCGTGGTCTTCGTATGTAATCCTTAACGAATGCGCGCGACCATATCACTGGATCGAGGCTGGCATCGTAGCCTTCGTGGTCGGCTTGCCAGGGATATGCCGCGCCGTAGCTGATGTAATTCAAACACAATACATTAACGAATACTAAGAATGTGTATTTTAATTCATAAAACATTGCTAATTGCTAATGCTAAATGATCGTCGGTAATGGCGTTAGAACTTTTGCTGGAACACGCGTATTTTAAATTGACTGATTTTGCTTGAGCGGCAAGCCGTGAAACGCTTCGTTGCTGCAGTGTGAATTTTGGAAATTGCTCAATGCTCTGCGTAATGTGGAATACCCGTGTGTTTGCCTTGAGTTGATACCAGAAACTGTTAAATTTCCAATTGTCGTTGAGCGCTCTTATACAGCTGATCGCTTATGTCACATGGAAGTTAATGAAAATTCCGGTCTTACCGGCTACAAATATACATATTTATTTAGTACATACATATGTACGAGTATTGAAAAAATATTTACGGATTTTTCAAAATCCTACTGCTCTATTTACTCGACAACTTTGTTTGTTTTCATTGTATTCAAACTACCTGCGCTTTGGGCTACATAAGTATATACATCCATGTATATCTGCTACTCTATTTTTATTCAACCTTAAGGCAGGTAAATAAATGTTGCAAGATTCGAGTAAGTGCGGTGTTTGTACGTACATACGCGTGTATTGCAATTATCAAACAATCATAAAAAGAAAAAAATGTGTGACAGCTGTGTGGGTCACAGACGCATTAAAGATTTACGACCTTTTTCCATTTGGCATTTGGTACTTTGAGTAGTGTAATAGTCGTATCCTTATCTAATTACTCATATACCACAGACGTTTCAATAATCGCCTAGCAGTAAAATAAATGCTTGCTCTAGTAATCCAATATTTACGGCGTTTTGGAAACAAATCGTTGCTGTTCCACTGTTCAGCTTCTTAGCATTCTTATCGTCTTAATCCCTTTCAAATACATGAAAGTTTTGCGCCTGCAGTATGTACATTAGGATGGAGCGAAAAAAAAA